GTGGTGAGCGGCGTGGTGGGCACCCGCATGCCGCGGTTCTGTCTGTTCGGGGACACGGTCAACACCGCCAGCCGCATGGAGAGCACCGGACTGCCGGGGGCCATACACGCCTCCGAGGCTACCTACAACAGGCTGCTGCAGCGGAGCGACCAGTGGGAGCCGACGGGGGGGATAGAGGTGCGAGGGAGGGAAAGGGGGGGTAAGAGGGGGGTAAGAGGGGAAATACACAAGCGCGGGGCACTGATGGTGAAAGTCCGTCTGCTTGCATGTCTGTCTGTCTCTCTGTCTGTCTGTATCTGTCTGTGTCTGTCTGTCTGTCTGTATCTGTCTGTGTCTGTCTGTCTGTCTGTATCTGTCTGTCTGTCTGTCTGTCTGTATCTGTCTGTCTGTCTGTCTGTCTGTCTGTATCTGTCTGTCTGTCTGTCTGTATCTGTCTGTATCTGTCTGTCTGTCTGGTTTGTTGGCTTGGCACAATGCACAGGTACTCACGGCGTTCTTCCTCCCCAATCCTCTCTCCCTGTGTGCCTGTGTGAGCGTGCCTCCTCCGCTCTCCGCCTTTCCTTTCGTGCTTTCTGCCAACTTGGAACTGAAAGATGTGCCATAACTTGGACTGCATCTTTGTCGTACCGCCGTACAGGTGAAAGGCAAGGGCCTCATGCAAACCTACCTATGGCGGCCCTGCACTCCAGGTCCTCCGTCGACGGCACTCGGTAAGCCGTACGGCAGTAGTACGGCAGCAGGCGCCTCTCCCATCGCAACGGCTGCCAGCGTCACGAACCATGCGAACCATGAGACCTCCTCCCTGTACCATTTGGGCCTTACGGGATTACGGGTTGCGCTGAGTTCGAGGTTGACCCTGGGTGGTGCGACGGAAAGCCACTGTGGAGGCAAGGGCGGCCCTGCGACAGCGCCGTCGGATCTGGTCGCCTCAGCCGCAGCCGCCGCACCGACGGCTTCCCTGTCCAGGTTTTTGGAATCTTAGGGTGAAAAAGAAGATGGGGCGCAAGGAGGTGGAAGGTCCCCTGTGTGTGGGGGGAGGGGCTGTTGTGGCCTGGACCTGGCTCAGGACGCCGGACGGCAGTGTAGTTGGGTGTGTGGGGCAGCTGCCCCCTCAAGGACGGAGGTGCCCTAGCTAACGATAGGGGCACTGCCCCCTTTCCCGGGGGGCGTGGGGCAGCTCTGCTTTGAAGGACTCAGAGCCAATACTGCAGGCAGATTGGTCGCGGCGCATCGGAACGGATAGAGCACGCGCGCGCGCGCGCGCGCGCGTGTGTGTGTGTGTGTGTGTGTGTGTGTGTGTGTGTGTGTGTGTGTGTGTGTGTGTGTGTGTGTGTGCCGCACACCTGGGGATCATTAACACGTGTGCATGCATGTATGCATGCTATGTTCAAATCTTGTGCGGGGTGGAATAGTGTACGCTGGTGCGGCATGATGATGACGATGATGATGATGCGGCGGCGATTATAATATGATACGAGGGAGAAGATTCTACCATGTGAATGCTTCACTTGATAATAATTGCATTACAAGCCTATTGTGCGCATGTGTGAGGACGAAGGGAGAGATCCCCGGGGCTGTCGCTGCTGCGGCAGGGAAGGGTGGGAAGGGCGACCACACCTGTCACACGTGTTCCCGTGGGCGGCATCCCGCCAAATCAGTTTTGAATTTGTATTTGTGCCTTTGGCACAGAAACAAAACTAAGCCATTACCATGCAGCTTGTTGCGATGTTCGGAAGCTGCTTCAGTTGGGTTTTGCTTTGGCGCATATAACTGCTCTAAGATAGTTCATCATAAATGAGATTTGATCTGAAAAGATTGGCAGTTGAAGCTGTTTAAAATTTTTGGCGCGGGGGGAGGGGGTTAAGGATGTCAAAAGAGAGGATCCGCATTCTGATCTGCCTATTCGCAGAAGTTGTGCGCCTTTCGCCGGCATGCTCCACTTTTGTGTGATATCGCGCGGTTTATAATAATTTATATATGATATATATGATATTATACTTTCTCGGGGCTCCTTCGGAATCCTATATGCCGCATATCTTGCGTTTGGACCTTGGCTAGGACGGTCGCGGACCACTTCGAATTCCCCACAGTTTTCGTGGAGACCATTTTATGGAGGGCGAGCGAGCGAGCGAGAGAGCAAGCAGGGCAAAAGGTAGCGTCACATTATTATTTGTTTATACTGGTTCTGACTAGTTTTGAAAATAAGTGAAAAGTGCTTTTGGCGGTGCGGCATTGCAAAGAGGACTTCGTTTTGTCGTTTTGGCGACGACAAAGCGAAGGATACGCGACTGCGACAGCAGTCATCGTAAAATTATGTGACTCGTCGGTTTTGCAGTTGTTGCTACAACCGCAGCGATGCTGCGTTAAGCATTTCGCTCGGGAAGGCGTCTTAAATGCGCGAAAGGAATCTGACAAAGATTTCTCTTTAGCCTCATTTGCATCCAACGGAAGATGTAGAAAGTAGTAGGAGAGGGACGCAAAAAGTGTCAGGGTTGTCGTACGTGTACGAAACGGCGGCGGCGGTTTATATTTCCTCCACCACCACCAAACCTTGCACACATTTCTTCATGCGCACGGCGCACGGCGATGTTTTTTGTAGCTGTACAGCGCTGCTGGCCGTATTAATGGAAACGTTGCTATGCTTGAAGCTCTGCCTATATATACACGACCTTAGAACGACTTTGTCAATAGGACATCGGAATGCGGGGGCGCTGTATGCCTTGACGCTTTATGTGATGGTTTATCGCGCTGAGGAACGGAGGGAATGGTTGTGGGAAGGCGCTGGACCTGGGCGCGGCACGTGAAGTGTTGGAGCTAGGCTTGTCTGGGGCCTCGGCAGATACCGATGCCCACGGAGGTTCCGGGATCGAGACCTGTCTCAACCGAAATTTTTTCCGATTGTGTGGAAGATGAGAGTGCCTCCCTAGTCCATGCACGGAGGTGACCTGGGAAATAAAGTAGATCTCCGAGATGATCAGGATTGGAGTTTAGCCGCCGTCGAATAATCCGGCAGTCTCCGTTGGTTGCCGGTGGTGGGTGCGGAACCTGAGTGACCCACTTACTTTGGAGAAATCGGTTAGGGTGACTAGATGAGGGTGCTCCGAAATACGGGGGAAAGCAGGGTTTCGCCGGGTAGCGACCGTAGGGTGAAGACATGACCTCCCTATCCTCATACATACATAAATACATACACCAATGCCACACGTACACCTACCCTGGGCCGTGCATGCGGGTGCAGGGGCGTGCATGTCTGAACGGGTGTTATGTGGGATGACGGCGACTCTGCGGAGGGATTCGAAGCAGAGGAACGGTGCGGTCGTTGCAGGCTTATTTCCCCGTGCATGCGTTTTCTCGAACTATCAAGAGTGTCAATAGCGCACAGTCGCACATCTAGGGGTTTGGAAGAGCGGGAGCCGACTACACTAACAAATGACAGCGCCCCGAAACCTCCCTGCGGGGGAAATGGGGTTTTCTACGGTACGGCAAGGATGGTATTATTATTATGCGTATTCGGGAATTACACACGCACTTGCCAGCGTGTAAATCCCTTTTTGGATCTTTCTGGAATCAGAACTGTTCTGGTGACCGCCCTTGTAACAAGGGCGGGTGTGCGCCGCGAGTGATGCGATGCGATGTGATTACTGTCATATATATTATTATTATCATTATTATAGAATATTTGATGAAGCCTGATGTATTATCATTTGCTGAGACGTAGGACGCGATGGACATTATATGAGAACGACGACGCCTTGGGACTCATCCTTTCTTGGCTGTCGCCACAATGTCGCGCTGTGGGATATTGCATATTGCGACACATGATGCGCGACGGAATGATGCCATACTACTGCGGTGTGGTGTGGTGTGATGAGGTATTGGCTGCTGTTCATTGCTGCGGTACGACGGTACGATGATGTGACGGAATAGTCAAAGGTGGATGGGGGCATGCTGTGCTGTGCCGCCCCTCGACAGCGCGATGCGCAAAATTCGCTGTAGGGGATTATGTAATGTATATGTACTGCCGCGCGCTGTGTGCTGCTAGCTGCTGTTAGAGTTTTCGACGTTTGTCATTACACAACACGTTATGCTCGCTGGGTGGTGCTCAGCGCTGTGATGCGATTTGATGCGATTCTCAATGCTGTGATGGTGCTGGATGATCGGGGATGTGCGAATTAATCCCTGTCGCATTGTTTTACGCATTTTCATGCCAACCACCACATCACCTGTCCTGCTGATGCTTTTCATATAAGTAAGTGCGCGTACATATATAATATAAATATGCGTTTACATTTGGCCCTTGAAACGCGTTTAATGGTCGCCGTGTTGGCCGCCGCACGAAATGAAGTGCTTTTTTGCAGTCATGTCGGTAGCTTGCGATGGTAGACAAGTTCGGAGAGATGCGATATTTTTATGTGCGATTTTGGCTCCGTTGGGGTCTCTGGTGGGGGGGGTCCCAATCGTGCCGTACTGCACGAGTAACGGGGCGTTATACGGCGCCTCCCTGTTCATGAGAACCAAGCATCATCAGGTGTTTCTTTGTGTTCTCTAGCCAACAGATGAAGGGAAGGAAGGAGGACAAATTCTGTTTGGTTCATGGGCCCCAGGCAAACTATCATCATCCTATGTATCGGGTTTTAAGCTACGTGAACATATGAATTATCACAATGTTAAATTTGCTCGAGGGGAGAGCGTTTTTACTGCTGACGATGATATTATGTTTTAAAAGTTTGCTAGCTTAAGAAAGAGGGTCGCGAGAGACGCAAGGATACGATCGTGAGTTCCTGCCCGACAGGCGCAAATGCTGCAGAGCTGGCAAGCGCTTCTTTCACTCTCATCCTTGCCGTACTGGCTATTTGGCCTTGGCGGTCTCCGTTACCATTATCCGTTTTCCTTGCTCTGTGCGCAATGGTCTGTGTGTTTATTGGTCACTAGTGTATTGGCACGACGAATGGACGGACTTGACTGACCGACTGACTGACTGACAACTTCAGAAAAGTACGATCGGCGGATGCAGATCCCGTGATATGCCCAGAATATATCATTACAATTTTTACCCCTTTCCCCCCCACCCTCTATTATGCCTAGAATACAATACTAATGGCCTGACAGGTGGCAGTAAACGGCGCCCACGGCCACAGCCATGGCCGCAACCATGTGTACGACCATGTACGACCATGCACGGTCATGACGACTGCCCCACAGGAACCACCACCCGCCACGCGACATGCTGATTAGATAGTCTCTTGAGGGAGATCTTGGGAGGAGGTGCTGCTACCGTAGTGGTATGTCGGCCATCTATAAAAAAGAAGTTTCGTATCGTATCGTATTAAGTTTAATAAGGGTTATTATTGCTGATGAGTGTGTCCTGCATATTACGGCCGTTGAGGGAGGATATCGTCGAGAGCTTTTTGCTGAATGGTTTTTTATGTGTATTACTTGCGCCGGTGCCCGCATACACTGCTGCCGCCATGCTCAGCAGCTATATGCGCCGCCACTTCCTCATTCTCATTCATCCATCCTCGATCTAACCCAAAGCATCCACCACCACTGCGAGGGGCGGATGCACTTCCTTTTGACTTTAGCGCGAAACGCGAGCCGAGCTCTCGATGGCGAATATTTTCATTTTCATTTCAGATAAGGAAATGTGAGTACGTGGTGAGATGAGTGTTTAAGCGCCACTGCTCGGTTGAGGACGTGGTGAGGAGAGGAGAGGAAAGGAGTGAGGCTAGCGCTGTACGTTTTATATGCATGGTTTGGGGGGTATCTGAGCAGTTTAGCAGCAGGCTGGCCTGGGGCCCTGGGGTATGGGGCCTGGTATTCATAAACTGCTGTTCGGCTTGTATTAGGGCGGGACGGGACTGGACAACAAGGATGGTATACCTCCGTCCTTCACCAGACAAGCGGCACATTCACACATGCAGAGAGGGGGCAGGTATCCGTAGCGGATGCTTAATCAGGAACTCTGATTTGCTTGAAGGACAAGAAATTAATGATGTAAAAATATCTATTGGACATATATGGACACCCATCCACCTATTCTTCCATCCCCTCATTCATTCATCCACGTGCAGGTGCGCATTTGTACTTTTGCATAAGACTGTTAAAACGGTCACCATACGGAAGTGGCTCTCTCTCTGTTCCCCCCCCCTCTCTCTCTCTCCCCCCTCTCTCTCTCTCCTTCTCTCGCGCGGGAACAAGTAGAAGCACCAACCGAATCTCAATGATTCATTGAAATGCAGAGGAAGAGGAAGCCGAACACAGAATACACCATAATAGGGCAGCAGACCAAACGTCTTTTTGTATATAAACAAAGAAGCCCTTGTCCTCCACCCACCTCAACCATGAAGACACCAAAGTACCCCGGGCCGGGCCCCACCCCCAGGCGCAAGGAGAGCTGCTCACGAGAGGAAAGCTGCAGCGGCGGCGACGGAAGCGCCAGCAGTAGCAGCAACAGCAGCAGCGCTGCATTACATCACACAGTGTTCACGCGGCTCCTCAGGCAGCACTGTGGTGAAGGTGTCTCCTTCCTTCAGGGCCCCGGCCGGTGGTCGAGTGGTGCCGACCAATGAGGCCAAAGCCAAATTCTGTGAGTACTATGGCCACACAGAGCCGCAGGGCGGTAGTGCCTCTCCGTGATGTCATTTTGATACACTGATACAGTTCTTTGAGGAGACGGGAATCAAAAAAATCAAATGACCCAGATGAAGAGTGATGAACCACACGGTCGTTTTCTACAGCAATCAAATCAATCAACAAACCCCAAGCTGCTGCTGCTGCTGCAGCCACTACTGCTACTACTTTTACTACTGCTGCTACTCACTCTACGGTTTTCAGTCCAAGGCGCAGCGCTCCGTGTGAAGTCACTCACACACGGCTCCCCACCCCCGTCTTACTTTGCCTAGAGGCCCATGAAGCCCTTTCGAACCACTACCACCATGACTGCAAATCTACCACGCAATCATGCACATAGTCATATACATTTCCCCCCAGCTCAACAAACAAACACACGCACAAACTGTTTAAACAGCACAACTACATTATTTTACCTTCATTTTTTTTGCGGTGAAGAGACCCATGTGTACACACTTCGCAGCCATCCCTATTTTAAAGCCAGATAACTGCACCTGCAGCAGCCCGGCGCAACACGATGCCGTCCCCGCTCCCACACATAACAGCACACAGGCAGCATACCGCCACACGCACACACACGTCTTCCAAGACCCCCACGGCCCAGCCGCCCATCCCGTCATTCCACTCGACCGCCATCAATACCTCCCAACACACGGGAGGCTACGGCTCCTAATCCAGTTCGCCAGCTCCCGTACTGCTCAGCACGTACGACATGCAAGTCATTTTTTTCAGGCGGCAGACGTGCATTACAGCTGTAGGTGTATACCTGAGCCAGCGGTGAACACCACGGGTACACATACACGCGCGTATTTCTCCTAGGCTTCTCCTGTTTGTGGTGTTTCTCCTGCGTACCGTTTGTGCGTGTGTGCGTGTGTATGTGTGTGTTGCGGCGAGGAGGTCAGTGCACTTCAACCGGTGGTGCGGGAGAATGGGTTGGGGTAGGGGTGGGCGCAGCAGCGGGATCTGCGGGCTTTGAGCCATCGCACTCGGGGGCAGCAGCATCTGGCGGCGAGACGTCGTCACCGTCCTGGAAATCCTCCTGTACCAGTGTCAAGGTCGGAGCAAAAAAGGAATGGGGTCCGGGCAAAAAGGAAATGGGGAATGGCTGAAATGATTAAGGATGTTTATGCAGGAGTCATAGAACCCGGAAGCCGCCAGGGGAAGACAAATCAGGTAGCGGTGCAGGTAGCCGTGGCGAGGGAGGAGTCCTGAGCATTTATGCGTTGCTTGCTTTGTGTATCTGGTTTTGTGTGACAGGTTCTATTTTGTTGCTGAACGCATGTCCGCCACCACCACCCCTGTGGGGCGACGAAGCTGTCGTCAAACCTGCCTGCCAGAACCCAGTTGCTCGAGCCTTTATGGGGTCGTCCACGCAGCTTATGCTATAGAAGGTAAGAGGTGATGGAACAAGGCCATCTTCGCCAATCCATGGTGAAAGGAGGTTGTACATAACATATGGTAAAGGCGCTCATGTGTCAGATGCGTACCGGGTCATAAACTACTGTGATATACAAGCTGCAGCTAGGACAGCGGGCGATTTCCTCCCCGGCTCGCAGCTCTTCCTACGGCGGCGGCGAAGAAGGTTCCACAATAAGTGACAGGACAGCTATATGAATGCACAGTTCTTATCAACCAGCATGCCCTACCTTGGTAATTTGGAACAAGTCGCCGCAAGGACAAGGATAGGTGTATGCTTGAAGCTTCTCGTTCCACGTCATGTCCTCAATCTCAACCTCATCATAAGACATCTTTATAATTGTGCAGTTGCGTTGAACGTCCGGTTTCTACCTCCGATATAGGTTGAGGAATCTAGCAACGTAATGAGCACGCTATGTACTTGGCCCTCTAAAAGCCCCAGCAGACTAGATGCTTTGTGGTGGCAAACGTGGACCAACGGGTGAAAATGACAAATTAAAGCATTCACCTTCCGACATTAGCCTCAGGTTATTACGTGGCAACGGGAACCTAACGTGCAATACCATATTCAAGCGACAAACACATGGAATACTTCAATAGACCAGGCCAGTAATATCCAGTACATATCTACATTATAGCTGGTAGCAGTTACCGTTGCGGCTGTAACCGTTGAATTGGTCCGAAGCTGCTCGTTTGGGCCGCTACAAGCCCGTGGAGTTTGTAAGGTGCGATAACAAAACGTTGATACATCAGATTTAGCCTTACAGACGTCAACAATTCGCTACCTATTGTTACTTCCATCCCTCCTTTCCCGTTCTATACAAGGCTGTGAAGTCGTCAGGAAGACCGACCTAGATTACAGTAATCGCGTCCATGCAAGCACGCACGTACACATACAACGCACCTTCTGTCGTTGCTTTCAGCTAAAAGCACTTCCTTGAAGCAGTCTAGTAGCCTGATAGAGGAATCACAGAATACATTTTATACTTCTCACACCCCACAAAGCCTCAGCCTCACCTTCCGACGCGACCCATCTCCCGACTCAATTCAAACTGGTAAGCACTGGTACGCACAAAAGCATCGTCGTGATTCGCATCGCGTCCTGTACCCCCTCCCCCCAAGTTACTCACTTCCCTGCCGGTTGACACACGCAACCTTACTTTCTCCGGCATAATAAACGCGCACAAAAATACAATACACATTCTCAACAAACACCACCACGTTGAGCTCTAATCCTCATGGCGAATTAGATAGACTATATACGCGTACGGAGCCAGTCACCAGCCAGCTACTGATAGAAAGCCCAAAAAATCTTGGCCCCCAGTTCAGGCTATGGTTCACGCAGGGTTGACACAAAACTAATACATATTCACCCTGGCTATATGTACTGGTCATCACTGTATGTATATAACCAGGATGAATGCTGATTGCCTGCAGGAGGGGCCATTTAGGCTCTTAAGTTATATTTAACTCAACCCCTTTCTGTCTGTCTGCGTTCTCAGGGGTCACCTCCCCACTGTTCACGTCCTTGATGAAAACACCCGCGCGCCACGACCTCTCTATCTCACGTCACAGACAGGCCCTAAACTCACACCCACATCAACGCCTACTTTTCCGTACGTCGTACTACGTCGTACATCCATCGTAAGCATATGCTGCCTGCATCAGGTCCCATGCGTTCCCGCCCCCTTTGCATGCATTTCCGTCTGTTACAACCGACAGTGACAGTTAGAATTACAACTACTGCTCCAGTTAAGGAAGCATACGCTTCAGGGGCTAGACAAAGCTTGCTCGCTTGCTCGTCCATTCAAGGCAGGCTCCGCTCGTCCATTTAACATACTCGTTAGGTTAGGTTAGGCTTCACTAGTAAGGCACGGACCATAGCCCCCGGGAGATCCCGGGATCGAGACCTGTCAGGGTCGAAAAATCCTTCCGGTGGTGGAAGGTAAAGTGCCCCTGTTTGATGGACGGTGGTAACCTGGGATCAAGTTAACTTGCGAGCCGACCATGAATGGAGTTGGGCCGCCGTCGATCCGGCAGATTCCATTGGATGCTGGTGGTGGGTGCGGAACCTGAGCGATCCACTGAGAAGTTGACTAGGTGACTAGATGAGGGCGCCCCGAAATACCGGGGAAGGCAGGGTTTCGCCAAATAGCGGCCACGGGTGAAGATATGGCCCCCTGTCCCACACATCGTACTCATGACTACATGTCGAACGTCCCGGCCAAATCAAAATAGCATAGGACAGAAGCTTATCAAAGTAATCATCACCGTCACAATATTGAGGGAGCTCTAGCTAAAAACAGCAAACGGAAAAAAAAGCCGTACTCGCTCTCCCGCGCGGAGGCATGCCGGTGCGTACTTGCTGTTGCTATGGTCGCCACCGCCCTGGCCACCCCGCCTGCTTCTTCTCGTCTCCCCTGATCGGCGACTGGTACTTAGGGTTGTCCCTCACCATAGACAAAACAACGGACGAAAATAGGACGAAAGGCGCATCACGCACACATAAAGTATTTGTATAATTATTTCTGTAAAACTCATCCATCACAAGAAGCTAGCCCGCAACAAACATAACGTCTAACTAAAACTCGTGTGCATATCTTAGGGTTATGTGTAACGGCATACGTGCCGATACCTCTTTAATTTGTCGTGAGTACGAACGTACATACATACGTATGAACATGATAACCATTGATTGGTGCAAAAAACTAACAGCAGGTTCGTTTATAAGTTGTTACTGATGACACGGGCCTGAGCGGCCGCCCAGCCCTTCCAATTACGCGATCTATTAATTACTCAGCATTCCACGCATCCGATCATTATTTCCTGACCCGCGCGCTAAGACGTAAAGCGTAAAAGAAAACCACCGCGTATGTGATGATGCATCATGAAGTCGTGAAGAAAAATGCCGGCGATGAATGAACTAGTCTTCGTTGTGTAATTCGTTGTGTAATTCGTTGGATGGTGTGGTCAGCTCGTTGGTTAGCACCTTCACCACATGGGTGGTGCAAACGACACAACAACCGACATAACTGTCAAAACCGCAAACGGACAGCAGAGGTGCGTGCATCCACCACTTCTAAAGCAGCACCTTGGGGGTGCCGACGCGGCACCTGGTGTTCGCTCTCAGCTGTCCGTCCGGCAACTTGTCAGCAGTATACCAGCTGACGGCGCATGTGGGCTCTAAAAAACACGGCTCTTCAACTAAGGTAAGCACGCATGCAGATATAGATTAGATTTTCACAGCAGCAGCAGCAACAACAGCCCGCCGTCCTAGCACCCAAAGCCACAAACAAGAAACGAACAACATACATGTCGCCAAAATGATTTCTACGTGATAATATATAATCTTTTATATCATGTTTATTCACACATTCAGTGCGTCAGGAGCAACAGTACTTCGAGATTTCACGCAGTCTGTATCCAGAGAGCAAATGGAGCATAGAGAGCATTTTGCTGGCGCGACACACAGCTAGTAAATTGAGGAGAGCCATCTTGATCGCGTAGCAAAACAACATTGCGGATTCGTACAGCAGGCAGGGACGACGAAGACGACCCGGGTGCTTATTTAAGCAACCTTCGCCGAAGCTTGTAGATAGCCGCTAGCCAACTGTTGGAACTATTTTATTTCCATTGTGCGTTTTTTGGAGCGAATTCCCCTTTCCCGATTAATCCATGCGCGTACGCGCACCTGCTGCTGCCCCCCGCGTGTGCGCAGTAGCGCAGTAGCTACTGCTGCTATCGCCGCCGCCTAATAATGCTCGCAAGGCCCAGCCTGCTGCTGCCAGTTTCATTCACCCACCCTTTCTAGCACCGCTACACGTTTCTAGCATCACTTCTATAGGGACATTTAAAGCAACCCAACGCACTTGACACAACAGAAACCGGCCACTAGAGCCGTAATGTTCGCCGTAATATGTCGTCGTCGTCAGCGCCAGCAGCAGCAGCAGCAAAACGCGCAAATAACAAATAACGACACCAAACATACATACAAAAGGCGGGGAGCAAGCCAAAACGCAGAGCAGCCTGCATTAATACTTAACATAAAGCATATATATACGTACATACATGTATACGTACATAGATATATAAGTACATACATATATACGTACGTACATGCATACATACATACGTACATAGATATAGACATACATACATAATGCAGGATGCCAAACTGCGGGCAACACAGCGACGACAAAGCCGTACACTCATACACCCGTACACCCACCTGCACTTTATACAGTGAACGGTGAAGTGCGGTGACCGTGCGATCGATTGCCGTACGGCACGTGTTTTTCTCTACCTCCACCCCGCAACGACCACAACACAAAAAACAGGATAAAAACCTAAACGACTCAGCATCCAGCTGCGGCATCTACTCAGCTACTACGCAGCGGCAGCAAAAAACTTCTACGAGCCAATAGTTTACAACTAACATAACCGCCATAGGCCGCCGCCGTATGTCGGAGTCTGACAGCCCTTGAGCCCTCGGCTCGTATTTTGGCGGGTTGCAGGTACCTTGGGGTGGGGGGGGGTCGTACCCCCACGACCACGATGTAACACATATACATACAGACACACATACATATGTCGGAGATATAAATCTGCATCTATGTGTCCGAATGATGCGCGAGGTAATCTGCGCGAGGTGATAAAACACATAAACACACCAGGACGCCGACGCTACGCCGGCAACAACCACCTAAACAGCGGCGGTGCACCCCCAAGGTGGACATAGGACCCATGTGGTGTGGCTATAGGACCTACCACATGGGCGATGGCTCTACTCTTCGGGAGTCTGGAGCCCACTGTAACAACCACACACACACACACACATGGGCGGCGTCGTGGTAGACGATGCATGACGGCACAGCGGCGGAAGCAGCAAAGCCAGCACTGCCGAGCGCGGGGCCGCCTGCGGCGGCGGAAGGAGCTAGCAGCCGCCGCCGCCGCCGCCGCCACCATTGTCACCGCCGCCGCTGCTACTATTGCGGTGGCCGTACGGCACCCTGAAGGGACTCCGGAAAGATTCCCCCGGCCTGGTTGGCTGGTTCGGGATAAGGTCATCCTTATCCGGACGCCAAAGGTAAGTTTGCATGAGGCCCTTGCCTTTGACCTGCGGGCAAAAAATGCGGTGAAGGCGATAAACCCCATCCAACCACCGGGATGGATCACAAGCGGGCGCCGTACAATACATGTACGACGGCATGTGCATGCAGGATAGGGACTTGGAGGAGGTATGCCCGCCAGCCAGCAAACCAGACAGATAGTTAGGTAACCAGGTAAGCACGTAAGCAGAGAGACAGATACAGACAGACAGACAGACAGACACAGACAGATACAGACAGACAGACAGACATGCAAGCAGACGGACTTTCACCAGCAGTGCCCCGCGCTTGTGTATTTCCCCTTTTCTCCCCCCCTCTCCCCCCCTTTCCCTCCCTCGCACCTCTATCCCCCCCGTCGGCTCCCACTGGTCGCTCCGCTGCAGCAGCCTGTTGTACGTCGCCTCGGAGGCGTGTATGGCCCCGGGCAGTCCGGTGCTCTCAATGCGGCTGGCGGTGTTGACCGTGTCGCCGAACAGACAGAACCGCGGCATGCGGGTGCCCACCACGCCGCTCACCACGGGCCCCGTGTGCAGCCCGATGCGGATCTCAACGGGCAGCCCCGTCGTGGGCATCAACACTTCGCGAGCAGCGGAAAGCATGGCCTGGGGCGGAGGAGACAGACACGCACATACAGATGACATGCAAACAGACAGACGGACACATGTACATACTCGCAGCAAGTGGGGAGGACCAGGGGAAGGAGAACGTTCAGATGGTATGACCAGATACACACCATTGCACGAGCGCTGAAGAAAGTCACGTAAGTCACCTTTGCGAACATGAAGATCTTCTCCGCGTGCAGGGGGTCCTCCGTGCTGCCCCCCTCCCGCACCGCCGCCATACCGTCCTCGTCCTCGTGGATCAGCCCGCCAGCAACAAAGTAGCAGTCGCCGATGGTCTCAACCTGCCGTACATCCAAAACCCAAGAGGCAGAACACGGGATGGGAAACGCACGGGTGAGGTTGAAGGTGGCGGGGAATGAATGTGGGAGTGCGTGGGGCGTGAAGAGTGGGGCATGAAGGCATTCACAAAGGAAATGCAACGGCCGCCGGCAATGGCCACGTACGGGGACCGCAAGAGTGTTCAAGATCTATTGCCAACGTGCCGTACTGTACGGTACCTTGTACACGCCGTACTTGTCCAGCATGGCGTCGTACCGCGAGTACAGGGAGTTGAGCAGCGACATCACCTGCAGTGGTGCGGGGCCCGGAGCAGGGGGGAGGAGAGGAAAGAGAGGTTCTCAAATTTGAGCTGTGTGCTATCATCACATATACCTGCCTACCCACTTTCACACCTGCTCAGCTTTCATTCATTACCCCACGATCAGCTGGTAAATCCCACCGCACCTAAAACACACCCACACACCCTCCCCCTCCCCCTCACCTGCCGGGGCTCAAGTTGCTCGCACATGGGCGTGAAGCCTGCGGAGGGTAGTGCCGTACGTTCGTACGGACAAGGGCGGCGTTACTGATGTTGTACATCAAGTATGCGCGACACCCCCTCGCGCAAGACGAAGACCATGGCGGCAGAGGAAAACAGTCCAACAAAATGGTGCCATGTGCTCGGGGTTGTTTTGGTGGTCTGCAAGCGCGAGGCGCACCCACCCACCCGCCCTCCCGCTCATCATCGCCCTCAGGCTCCTGGCCTTACCTCTGATGTCGGCGAAGAGAAGAGTCACCTGAAGATCAAGATCAAGACAAAGAAGCAATACAGCAAACCGGTGACAAGGGGCAAGTGGGTGGTAGAGCGGTGGTTAGTTCGTTGGGTACTCAACGTGCTTTCTCCGAGGTGTCCTTAGATATGGGGCCCCCCACACCCCCCAGCCCCCCCCAGGTCCCCCCCCATACCCACAGCCCCCCCACACCTCCCACACAAGAATAAGGCCCTCATCATATGGAGGGATAGTTGCTGCCGGAGGGTGTGATACCGCCTCACGGGCACTGCCGCAGTAGCAACAGTAAGCCAGAGCGAGCCAACTGATGGCAACGAACCAACTAACAACTGACAACCTACCTCGGGATGGCACGTGGCCAGGGCGTTGCAGTCGCGAACCACGGGTCGCCAGCGCATGCTGCCGCCGCCTACCGCACTCCCTCGCCCCGGGGGGCCCCCAGCCGCCGCCGCCGGCCCCGCTGCTGCCGCCCCCGCTACCGCTGTCTGCCCCGCCGTCCACTCCTCCGTAATGTACTGCAGTATGTGACGAGGGAAGAGCTGCTCCACCAAGCGGTGCTCGGTCTCCATCACCAGCGCCAAGTGCCGCTCAGCAATCACCTTGGCCGTGACGTCATTCTGAATCAGGACGATGACGTCAGCACCCGTAACGGGGTCGCGGGCCGCCGTAGCCCAAACCTCATGCCAACACTCGGGAATAGCCGCCGCCGCGACAACGCCTCCTTCCGCCGCCGCCGCCGCCGCCACCGCGAAAGGCAGCTCCTCTGCACGGCTGCTGACCTGCCCCTGTTGCTGCTGCCCCTGTTGCTGCTGCCCCTGTTGCTGCTGCCCCTGTTGCTGCTGCCCCTGTTGCTGCTGCCCCTGTTGCTGCTGCCCCTGTTGCTGCTGCCCCGTCTCCAGCTGCGGACTTCCCTCGAGGTGGGTTTCCTTCTCTCCCCTCGTGGGTTCATCGCCCTCGCTCGTGAGGTGCTGCTGCTGGTGCTGGCGGCCGTGTCCCAAGTCGTCCCCCAGCTCCAGGCTCTGAGGCGCATCGGCTGCCTGCTGCTGATGATGAGGCGGAACCTGCAACGGGGGCAGCGGTGGCAGCGGAAGCGGCGGCGGTGCTATTAGTGACGGCGGTGCTCGTCGACATACAGGTATTTTATGCCGCCAGCCGGGGCTGCCGCTGCCGCGGCCGCTGCCGTACATTCCCCCACCCCGACAGGTGACGCATACCTCGCGATCGGCTTCCGCCGCCACTGGCGCCGCCGTCGAGGCCGCCGATTTCGCCGCTACCTCCGCAGCCGTCGCCACCGACGGCACATGAAGAGCTCGTTCAATCACTTGCAGCGTATCCTCGGCTGCTTCAGCGGCTGGGTTGACGGCGGGCAGCGATGACGTCATCGTCAGCCTGGAGGCGCCGCTGAGGACGCGCGCCGCCAGCGGAGGATAGCTGCCGCCACCACCACCACCGCCGCCGCCGCCGCCACCACGGATCTGAGAAGGCATGCCGGTGGTTGTAGAAGCCCTGTGGCCGGTGTTTACGGATTTGACTCGGGGTGACGACGCCGCCGACGATCCGTCGTACCCGCTGGGTGGGTTAAGCGACGCCGTCAGAGGTGCGGTGCTCAAAGACAATGCAAACGCCAGCGCTCGGGAAGCGGCGGCGGCGGCGGGTGGTGGAGGAGCGCCATGGGCGGTGACAGCGGCGGCGCCGCCGCTGCCGCCGCTGGGCGGCGTGGCAGCCGTGACGCTGCTCGCGGACGCGAGGCCGTAGGCTCGGCGGAGGGCCGGCGCGTTGTACGAAATAGTACGACGTGGGGCTAGACGACGTTGTGGCGTGGAGCTTGCCGTGACGGCGGCAGCGCCGTCAGCGGCTGTGGCGGTCGTGGTCGATTGGGGCCTCCCCATTGGCGACACTGGAGCACGAAACGGAGCTGCTTTTGTTGTTGTGGTTGTGGTGGTGGTTGTGGTTGTGGTGGTGGTGGGTGTGTGGAAGTGGCTGAAGGACGTCGGGGGCCCGCCGGCGAATGTGGCGAAGGTTGAGGTGGCTGCCAAGGTGGGCGAGGAGTTGAGGGGAGGGGAGGGGGGAGGGAGGGGCCGGGAGGACATGCGGCGCCAGAATGCATAAAAACAAAACGCACAAAAATGGAAATGAAAAACGCAAAAAATGAGGTCAAGGAAAAAAGTCCCCCCCAAAAATAGAAAACGCAAAAAATGTTGCCGGGCTGTGAGCAAGGACGCATTCAGCACCGTCATAAAGCACTCATTAAAGCGGGTTATCACGTCGTACAGGAACTACGGCCTTGTACGGTGCATGTAGAGCGTGTACGGCCGGGCTTGAAGACTACCTTTTTGAAGCCCGTACGAAGCGCTCACTCACCTAGAGGGTCCTGAGCCGTCATGAAGCTGCCGCTGAATTGTCTCGTACATTCCGTACGTTCCGTGTAGCTGAACATGAGCTCCGCTGGGGTGCCAGCCGCATCGGTGTCGTACAACCCAGCGGCGGTGACCGCCAGCGACGACCGAGTCGTCGTACGAGTGCGCTGGTACGGCAGGGCGTTGTACGTCGTCACTATATTTCGCCCAAGGCCGTCGGCACAGCCGCCGCCACCGCCGCGATAACTTGGCCGCTCTGCCGTATCCGCACTCCACTGGCTGGCTCCCGTTTCCGTACAGTCAATCCAATTTGTGGCGGCGGCGGCGGCGGCGGCAGTCTCCCTCGCGTCGACTGGCGCCGTCACTATCACCGACGGGTCCGCAATGCTCCCGCCGCCGCCGCCGCCATCACCGCCGCCGCCGCCGCAGAAGCTGATCCCGGGACATGGGCCCGAGCCGTTACTGGACAAAATCCAACTTGCATTCCCATCGGCAACGGCGGCAGTGGGCGGCGATAGCGGCGAAGGCCGAGCTGGCGGGGAGGTGCAAGCGCACTCGGCGTCACCTGCTGCGGTGGCGGCGACGTCGACAGCACTTGTGGCATCTGCATGTCATGTTTAGTGTACGGCAGTACGACACTTGGCAGCATTTGTCCCGGCAGCCAGGGGCGGCAACTATTGAGACCCATTGTACTGCACCGGTTGTCCCTTTCCGTACAAAGCAATTTTACCACGATCACGTCCAATATATATCCCCAGCGCACCCGTACAGCTTTACCAAGCTCACGGCAAATACGTTACAGCAGGTTTTAGCCCATTGCTGCAGGAAAACCGAAAACCCCCGCGTCCCCCGGGGAAATGGATTTCTCATAACCCTCCCCCCCATGACATTCTGTCGGTCATTCTGCAAAGCTAAACTTGAGGGGGGGAGGTGCCAGGGACGATGGCAGCAGCTGCCGTACAGGGCAGTACATGGTACGGCACATGTACGTGAATCACACACCCCGTCAAGGCGCTCACCACCTTGGGCCCGATGAAGCTCTAAGGGTTTCAGCGCGCCTTCGGGACTCGTACTGGCGGCCTCAGCAGCACTGTCGTACCTGAAGTGCTGTGGCCCACACCCGCCGAGGCCGGCAGCGGCCGCAGCGGCGGTGCCGCCGCCGCCGCCGCGGCCAGGTAATGCCAGCGGCACCGCCGCTGCGGGATCCCGAACCCTGCAGCCCTCCGAAACGGTCTTGAGGCTGTACGGCACCCTCAGTACGGCTGCAAGCATGGAACACAGACTGAATTTCCCAGGTTGAAGTTTAATTGTTGAATTAAAACCTTGAAAGCATCGTTTGATAGGCGCTTTGTGGATATCGTTACCGTTAGCAAGGCCGGGTCCCAATCGAAGGGATCGATGGAAATGGGGCATTCAGGAAAGCGAGATGGCGCCGAAACCAAATAGCCAAGGATCTAGGATTGAGCAGCAATGGTGGACACCTTGTGATGAGATTCCTTTCATGCATATGACCTTTCTTGTGGAGATTGTTTCGCAGCGGGTATCTAGGATGGTGAGATAGAATACAGGTAGCCAACCACTTCAATGCCGAGGTGTGGGACACATTATATAAGTCATATAATCGCCTTACCCTTCCAAAGTCCAGGACTTCCTTCTCGACGGAGCTCTTCAAGCATTCTCTTGCCCTTTTCGGGCTCGAACATGAAAACAAGCGCGAGCACATCCTCGGCGCCATTTCCGTGGCAGACGCCTAGATAAGCCTTGCTCTGCAGGTTCTGATGCAGTACTGACCCTTGATATGTGAATACGGTAATGATTGCAGGGGAGCTCGCCATAATCATCATATCGCGTAACTCCTGCGGCTAACGATAAATGATTAGCCACTCAGTTGACCGCTCAATCGATACCTTCTCCAGTGAACGTGATGAAATGCACTGTCTGTAATAAGGAATATATACGTATGACGAGGTAAGCGGTGCTTGAAGACTTACCATACAGATAGCATTGTTGTAGGCACTGCCATTTCCCATAACACCTGTGCCTCCGGAGGCTAATCGAGTCGCATGCGCATGAGCGAAATTTGGCAGTGCTCTTACGGCCGTCTGATACGGCGATTCATTCATACAGCAATCGATATTCTTGGCTGTGTAGTCCGCCCGACCTTCCGGAACCGGAGAGGCATCGCTCGGCACGATGCTTGCATCGGTCTTTGGGCTCTCCGTTTGGGGACAGTCACCGACGAAACCTTTTGTCCTCAGCTTTGACTTTTTACCGAAGCAGACAGCAAAGAGGTCCATCTTTCCAGGACAGCGTTACCACTTATTAGGCAATGTATAGGTCTTAGGGAATCCTCCCAGCGCTGGGTCGCAAAATTGTGTCGCGACAGGGCTGACGGAAAAAAGAGAAACGCCTGCAGCCCGCGAAACAGCGGCCTGAAGCTAGCCACATAGAAAGCAGACCTGACAAATGCGGATGCGCTATTTTTCTTCTATTAACACTATCAACGAGAGAATCTGATTCGAAAGGCGGTCTACAATACAGTACATAATAAGTACATCCCAACGCCATACTAAACTAAAAAACATGAGTGGGTTAGCGCTTAGCAGTATAAAAAGTAAAGGATGATGATACAACAAAAAAATAGCCGTGCAAGCGTCTCATGTAACTATCGAAAGGCCGCCGCTTACCGCGGCGTCTACACGTATAAGAAAATAAACCATCATTCATGCATATTTCTGTAAGGATCAGGCTGCTTAGCAGGCCATGTGTGCGAAGCTCGACCTGGCAGTCTGTGGGAGATGCGATTGTTACAGTGGACCCCGGACGGGTCGAGTGCAGCGCCCCAAGGAACGCCTCCCACACAACACTGTGGGCTTTATTAAAAAAAATTCGGCCAGGCCGTACTAACTTCACTGGACACAAGACCTCAGTTAGTACGCTCATACAGAAAATATGAGGCTCCGACGTGAGCCCTCAGACCTCGTTCTTGTACATCGGTAAACGGCAAACAACCTTGCCTGCGTCGTTTGACATATAAGAAAGGGTGGTCAGTTGTGAGGCACGTGTTCCCTACGTTTTGGCAAGTTATCCCGTGCCGCAAAAGCAGTTAAACGGGCCCAAAAGTCAGAGATAACATCGTAAGTAATGTGGTTTAGCGTTGATGTATCTACGGCCATGTTGGCATGAAGACCTTCCCTAAACAACAAACGGCGACAGAGTCTGTGGGAGGCCCTCATGCATGCAGGCTGACGGCTATGAGCTATGGGCAGTACGAGCTAGATGCCATGAGAGGCCATGTAGAGATACTCCGCCCACATCCTAAGGACTGGATACCATGTATGGGATCGATGATGTTTTTTTGCTCAGTTAACCTACTCGAAGTCGCTCCAAGTATCCCCTTTGGCGAACGGTGTCATTGTGGCCCCTCGCCGGACCACGGACGTTCTGTCCCAACGTGCATCGTCAAGGACACGCTGCCTTGCGTACAGACTGCACACATATGACACTCCACACACAGACTACAAACAGACACACGCATGCCAACAAACACCACCGACAATGATAAATTCGTGGCGAGATTAATCCACACGCACACACGCACAATTCGGCTCTCCACGGCGACCGCCGGAGCCGACACCGTGGTTGCGGGTTCTGAGCCTTCTGTTTGGATTTGCTTTTGGCAGTCTAGTAGGTGACACTTGCGTTGTTGTTTGCCCTTCTCGTATCAGGTGCAGTAATAATGCACGGCCAGCTGGCCAGCTGGCTCTACTCTTTGTGAGTCTGGAGCCCACTGTCACCACCACACATACAGACACACACCGAACACGCCAACGGTATCTTTTCCGTTTGTATTCGCGTCCGCACCGCCGCTCGTCAGGAGACCAGCAACACAGGAAGATGAAACTAACCAATGCAAAGGATTACACTGTAGGGCAATGTACTGATTAAGTAGCGGGGGTAGTTCGTTTTTTCAGGGTGACGAGGAGTGAAGTACAAGTCCAGTACACAATTTAGGATTTCTTGGAAGGCCACTGACGAAAGGTTAGGACATAGCCTTTCACACGGGATTTGCGCAGGACACGAAAGCAAGTTTCAGCTACTACTAGACGGCCAAATTTAAAGTCAACTGGGATGAAGATACGCTTGTAAACGATTTTTTCTGTTAGAAGGGATTTTCCCTTGAACGTAGATCCGCGAAAAACGCGCGAAACCTCCTTTTCCAAGTTGATTGCGTGCTCTTTCTAAAGACTCCCCCTACCTTGGCCTTTATGAAGTGTACAAAAACTATGCGCTACGCAGGACGACAAAAAACTACAAAAACGTTTCAGTTGTGGAACTCAAATTGTTTTGAAAAGTAAAAATTTGTTTGACGCTGTCTCTCAAACCGCCTCATACAGCCCGGATCGCATGCATTTGTGTAAGGTGCTTCACCGAAACCGCGTTCCCATGTTCCCATAATGCTTTAATGCCCTTTCACCTTCTTGTCTTTCGGATCCCACACTTAAGGCGGGGCTTTGCAGCTCTCCATCCCTCCTTTGCCCTTGGCTGTTCCTCCGTAACCCTCCGTCTCCCCTTGCTCCTTTCAAGGGTCAAAGCGTAGCTTAGAGCTTTGCAGCTGTAACTGCTTCTTTATGCTTTGCGACTCATAATTGTACTCAATTTTGATAGGACTCCTCATTGTACTTCAGGCGCTGCATCCTCATTTGCATCAGACTTCAGTTTGTGATGCGGTATTAAGCTAATCCACTACTTTCCAGGTTGGCTCGCCTCTACATAGGCGCAAAAGCCTTGGTGATCGGGCTCGAACGACTCAGGTTGACAAGTCGGGTGTCGGCTTCCTCGAAGCCGGAAAAAGGGCGGGCCCCCCCTGCATCCGTACAGGCCGGTAGCTAGCACGGCACGTGTGACAATTGATGGGTAGTGTCACTGCGGTGGGAGATGTGCTTTGTTGCAGCAGTGCTGATGGTGTGGGAGCTAAGCTTGCACCGGCGGAATCGTCAGCACCGCCTGCGGGCTGCACGCGATTAACATACATCCCGGGTGCATGCCGCATGGACAGTGCGGCAGACCGCAAGTCGGAATGCCCGTACGGGCAAATTGGTAACGCAAGCTGGGTGAAGTTCGGTGCTGTCTGTGATGTTTATCCCCGAAGCGCCGGCGGCCTCAGCAATCCGCCCCACAGCCGCGAGCTTCATCGCGGCACACCGCAAGTCTTCGGAGGCCCCGTGCATTGGCCAAAGTAAATGTACAAACAAGCAGCTTGTTTATTTCATATAGAAATGAAAGCAAATTTGTTGGCCTGCTGGTGGCAAGTCGGATTGCTCATGCCGGCAAATGGTAACACAAGCTGGGTGTTCGAGTTATCATACGCCGTCATCTCAGAATTCCATTATGAGATACGCGGCAGCTTTCGGGATGAAATTTAGCGCGAGAGGCGTTGATGTGACTTTGGCCTCGGTCAATTGAGGCAGCCAAACTTGTTTGCGCTCATACGATTTTTGTTGGCTACATGCGAGATACCTTGCAATAGAGGATGCGGTATAGTACCTATAACGCGTTTCAGCCGGGCGAGATATTATGTTTGGTCCGTTACACACACACACACACACACACACACACACACACACACACACACACACACACACACACACACACACACACACACACACACACACATACACACACACACACACGGACATGGGCAATCCTACAGGTCGGGGCCCCCCTGGGCGCTTCGCGCTGGGGCCCCGCCCAAAAAGGTGCGATCGCAGGGCCGTGCACCGGCTTTTCGTACCTGGTGCAATTCTAGGCATCCAGTCGGACGAACGAGCGATACGGAAGACCCGTTGCCGGCCGGCATGAACTTGCAAAATGGATTGATGAGTTGAAAATATATACGTATGACGACGTGATTATTAAAATAATCACGTATTGTTAGAGGCAATGAGCTGCCGTCCAATGAGCTATGGCTGCCTCCCCGACACCCGGGCGAGGTGCGATTTGGGGAAACGCATCTGGGGGGGAGGCCTGTGGACCTTCCCGAGAAGGCGGGGATATGTAAAAAGGTTCCCCTTTAGGGGACGAAAACGAAGGGGTGTTGTCTCCCCGAGCGGCCGTCTCCTTTGGTGTTGGGGAGGGCTCCATAGCCGCAGCTGCGTCCAATCAGACTTCCGACGCTTAAATATTTAAGCGTCGGAAATGCTTAAATATGGATGTCGGTTAAAAAAAAAGGATGATGTTAATCATGCATCAGAGCTTACAGACCTGTCGTTGCTCTTCTCGCAGCTGCTGCGTCGCCGAGTTCATATGGGCATTCGCGTGGATTGAAATTGATGACTCACACGATAATATCGACGCGGTAACGACGACGTGCATCCAATCCAATACAATACATGGGGCGCAGCAAGCTAGCGTACGGCAAGCTAGCGTACGGCAAGCTGGGGTGCAACCGGGGTAGAAGTCCCTTTGGGCTAGGAACCCCTAGCGCAGCAGCTATAAGAAGCACCGCCCCGCTCGTCCAACAGACGTATACCACCGGTATACGACCAGCAGATGCCGTACCTGCTCCTCTACCTTATCACTACGTGCCACACTTGGTGTTCCAGCTGCTGTAGATTTTGATAAATTTAAACGAGAAAGGATTCTGGGAGGCCCAGAATCAATTGCCTTTGGACTTTCAGTACACACGGATCGGTGGTCTACATTGTGGTAGATATACTTGGTGTATACTTGGTGCCCCTAGGAGGGTGCTCGGTGATGGGTGCTCTCGGGTGTTCAAAATCGTGTTACCAGTATCCAGAGGTAAGCGAATGGCCCTGAAGAAGCCATCCGCTCTGTAACAAACCAACAATTTGAACGGAAAGGTCATCCATGCCTTGTCGTGCACGATGCCTTGAGGGATGTCAATCAAGATCCGGAAGGTCGGTACTCGACTTCGTGGACATACATAACGACATACATTCCCGCGGCGGGATATTCCCATTCTCCTGTCATATCAGTTAGGTTCCCATCCCATGATAACACTAAATGCTAATTATATCATCACTGCCTTTCTACACACGCTCTCACACGTTCTCACACACTCTCATACTTAGATACATACACACACCTCACAACGAGGTATTTGCACGGGGTATTTGGAATGGTGGGTATTACCCTTTGCATTTTGTCGTACATAGCATACATACCGTCAGCATAGGCAGGCGGCTGGCAGAAGTTAAGGCCTGACTTCTGCTCCCAGTCGATCCAGTCGACCCGGGTTCAAATCCGCCTGCCAGCTCCTCGGGTGTTTGAGGAGTGATGAAATGGGAGGTGGCCCCCCATCATATGGACGGTGTAGGACGTGATAATATCAACTTGCGAGCTGACCAGGAACTAAGTTGATGCGCCGTTGATCCGCTAGATTTGGTTGGATGCTGGTGGTGAGTTGCCGAACCCAACGAATACATTCTGAAGTCGGATGGGGTGACGGATTAGGGTGCCCCTCTAGCAGGGGAGAGCAGGGACTGCCCCGGGAAAGGGGGCCGCTGGCGAAGTTAACCACCCTGTAACAACATACAACATACCGTCGTTTTACTCCCTCGGAAGGTAAGCAGCCACCCCTCCGAGGGGTTGGAGCGCATTTACCCTTCAATTCTCCTGCTTCGGTCATTCGGCTGTTCCGGTCATTCCGGATAATTTTGATACATCCTGGAATAATTCTAAAAAGTGATGGAAGCTAAAGTCATCGCCCCGGCCAGCCACGGAACAGAACCTGAAAAAAGTAATGAATGTATATGTTTATTACTTTTTCAGAGTTTGACAGCCACGGTTCCAAACGACAAACGACCTGGCAGCACAGCAGAGGATCGTATACGACTGCCGTACACAGGTTGCCGTACAGGGTGCTGCTGTCATCCTTTCATCCATCCTGGCAGACGTCCGGATGCGCCTCCTCCTCCAACTCTTCCTCCTCTTGCTCTTATTAGGGTTGTTGTTTCTGGATCGCCGCCACCCTCTTCCCCCCTATGCCCCTGTGTGGGGGGGGAAGGGAGAACACCCGCTCAGATTTCCCCACCCGCGTTTCCGCCGTTGCTGCCACCGCCGCCGCCGGAGAGCCGTCACTGCCACGGTCATGGCAGCAGTCGCAGCAGTAGCAGCAGCAGCAGCCACACTGGTAGCAGCACCATTAGCAGCAGTAACAGCTCTGTTAGCCCAGTCCCTTGGCGCCGGCCTGTGTTGCGTTGCAGCAGGAAGGGAGGAGGGGAGGAGTTGCGTAGCCAATAGAACAGTTGCAGAGTCAGTCACAGAAGTGCAATCAGAGTCCTTAAGTGGTGTTAAAGTGAAGGCTGCACCGGCATCCTCGAAGACCAACGCAAGGCCGATTGACCTCTTCCCTCTTACAATGCAGCTGCATCGGATTTACGGCCCTCCCCCTCCCCTCCCCTTTCCTCTCCCTCTCCCTCTCCACAGCCCACCTCAAAAACCCCTTCCCCACCCCACCCCCATCATTCGCTGCACAAACGAACACGCTCGTACCAGGGTGCTCCGCTGCTGGACGGCGGGTGGGTGTCGGTGGCCGAGACCGGTGGGGGCAGGAGGGGTCGAGGCGGGGTGGGGTGGGCCGGGGTGGGGTGACGGGTGGGGACCAGTCCGGGCATGACACCAGATGTATTGTGCCACTGTTCGGTTGGCCTCGTCGAACGGCACAGACACAGGACACACGGACACATGCATACATATATACATACATTAGGCAGGCGGTCGGCAGAGGTTAAGGCCTGACTTTTGCTCCCGGAGTGTCCGGGTTCAAATCCGCCTGCCGACTCCTCGGGTGTTTGAGGAGTGTGGCCCCCCATCTTATGGACGGTGTAGGACATGATAATTTCAACTTGCGAGCTGACCAGGAACTAAGTTGAGGCGCCGTTGATCCGCTAGATTTGGTTGGATGCTGCTGGTGAGTTGCTGAACCCAACGACTATTCTCTGAAGTTGATGGGGTGAATGGATTAGGGTGCCCCTCTCGCAGGGGAGAGCAGGGAACTGCCTCCAAGGGAAAGGGGGCCGCTGGTGAAGCTATACCACCCTGTAACAATATACATACATACATACATTCATTCATTCACTCACATACATAATACTCCCGATAAATATATATGGGGTGGCCCCGGCCAGATCTTTCTGTCCCGTATGCGTTTCCGCAACCTCTTTATCATTCTACATCGTCGCCATACTCACGTGATTGTAGTTACCGCCCAACAGCTCGATGGGATTACTGATGGAAAGGGGATTCGAACTGACAACGTTAAGGCCACCGCCGCCGCCTTGCCCGCCAAGCGCTTTAGCTGCTGCCAGCGCCACCCCGTCATCTTTCGGCACTTGGCCGGAATCTTTCTGTAGAGGATGAGACGCGCTGCCGCCGCCGCCGGCCTCCGATGACGCCGTCACAGAGGCCGTCGCCCCAGGGGTAGACACCGGCAGCGCCGTCGTCGCCGCCACCGGCAGCGCCGCCGTCGCCGCCACCGGCAGCGCCGCCGTCGCCGCCACCGGCAGCGCCGCCGTCGAGGTGCCCGGCGCGATGGTGACGACCTGTGCGCCCTCTGGCTGGTAGACCCGCTGAAGGGATTGCTGCATGGATTGCTGTACGGATTGCTGTACGGGCTGTTGTACGGACTGCGGCATGGATTGCTGTACAGTCTGTGGCCTGGATTGCTGTACGGATTGCGGCATAGATTGCTGTACGGACTGTGGCCAGGATTGCTGTACGGACTGTGGCCAGGATTGCTGTACGGATTGCGGCATGGATTGCTGTACGGACTGTGGCCTGGATTGCTGTACGGACTGTGGCCAGGATTGCTGTACGGATTGCGGCATGGATTGCTGTACAGTCTGTGGCCTGGATTGCTGTACGGACTGTGGCCTGGATTGCTGTACATACTGTGGCCAGGATTGCTGTGCGGACTGTGGCCAGGATTGCTGTACGGATTGCGGCATGGATTGCTGTACGGACTGTGGCCTGGATTGCTGTACGGACTGTGGCCAGGATTGCTGTACAGTCTGTGGCCTGGATTGGTGTACGGATTGCGGCAAATTGGATTGCTGTACGGTCTGCGGCTTGACTCGTTGTACGGATTGCGGCATGGGTTGCTGTACGGATAGCTGCGTGTATGGCTGCATGGAAGTGCCGGCGCCACCAACGCTGCCCCGAGCTGTCCCGCTCTGCAAGTGTCGTGTAAAGAGTTGGTTAAGAGCGGTCCACCAGCGACATCCACCAAGAAGAAGAAGATGCGCACAGCACACCGCAGCCCGGGGGGTGCCCGCTCTTAAGCGGTTCTCCTTTCCCGTACCCGCAACTACCCACAACGAAAAATAACTGAGAACAACGAGTCACCAACAACTGAATACTAGCTGAAAAGTAACTGAATGCAAACAACGGGATAACAACGGGACCAGCGAACTCACAGGCGGGGTGGTGAAGGAGCGGACGAGCGCAGCGGGGTTGGGGGCAACGGGAGCAGCGGCGGCGGCAGCGGCGGCGGCGGCGGCGGCGGCGGCGGCGGCGGTAGCGGTGGAAGCAGCCGGGACAGCCGCTGTCGCCGCAGAGCCGCGCTTAGGCGCGAGCGCTGCTGACGTAGGCGTGGAAGCAGCGGCAGCTCTGACGGCGTAGGGATACGACTGCGACATGAGAGTACGTTGTACGACATTACGACAATACGACAGCTGCGACGTCAGACCCTGGGTACATGCATCGTATACGCGGGAAAAGCAATGATGTACGACAACCCATATCCCTAGCCGACGCTTTGTGTTTCGAACAACTCCCCGCCTACGGAAGGTGCGTGTATGCCGTTAGAAGTGTCGTACAAATCATACGTTCCCAAGCAATTTCGTACCTGTAGAAACGTTTCCATTAGGAACGCAGCAACGCCGGCCGGGAAGCCACTGCTGACGTGTCAGAGGACCGTGTGTGTTTGGCGGTCGCGTCGGAACCCCCCGGGGAGAGAGATTTGAAGAAGGTTTGCTCCCCGGGGGGAATGTTGCCACGGGAATGTTGGAATTGATTGGAAATTGGATTTAAGCGTTGGGTTTTTAAAGTTCAGGGATTAGGCCGTTGGAAATCGTTAAATTTCAAAATAACAAAGGCTGCAGCCAGCGGTAGCTACGTCACACACAGAATATATTTATATTTTATTGTATATTATAGTAGTTTTTACAGAACTTTACCTGCGACACTGCGAATCTTGCTGCGCCCTAACTAATTACAGACCCAATCAACTAACTACCTAAAGGTCCAACGGCCTTTCCGTTGTCGCACAAATCGTGACTACCCCGTGATGATTTACGGGACGGTAATTGCCGTTTGATCTTCTTCTTCGGGTGATGGATCCCCACAGATGCAGACGTCAGCATCTGATTTGATGCGAAATAAGCAGGGATGTTTTTTACACTGCTGGCGGCGCTGCCGTGGCATACACCCAAAGTGATGCGATGACGCTGACGTCAACTCACGCTGCTGCTGCTGCTGCTGCTGCAGGCAGTAGCTGGCGACCTTTGAGCCGAGTACCCTGTTGTCGTTCCGATGGGTGCGCTGCTGCCGCTGTTTGACCAGGATGTCCGGGACGGGTAGCGGCGGCGGCGGCAGCGGCGGCGGCAGGGGCGGCGGCGGCAGCGGCGGCAGCAGCAGCGGCGGTGGGGGCGGCGGCGGCAGCGGCGGCGGCAGCGGCGGCGGCGGCGGCGGCGGC